ATTGACTGCAGTTATGGGAAGCACTCTGTGAAATTTTCTGTCTAGTTTGAAATGGCAGGCATAGCCTTATTTCCATCCAGCCCCTTGCCAAATTCTGCTACTCAGAACTAATGCAGTAGATCTACACTGAGTTGGGATAATTTTGCTTTCACTGTGATCAGTTAAAGTGACTTTCTTTCCCTTCCACCTGTTTGTTTTCATTCCTGTAGTGGATGTTAAATTTTCCCCATCTTTCCAGTTCTACAAGGAAGATGTTGGCAGCTCAGTCACCTTTGAATATAACTGTGAGAAAAGCAAATCTTATGATATTGGAGTTAGTGATAATTACAGCTAGTCTAACCTTTGATGACTTTATTATAATATTGTTCTTATGCATTTGCTCCATGTTCTTCCTATGAGAAATGCAACAAAATACTAAAAGCTCCATCCTATTGTGGTGTTGCCCACATTAAACTTAGGAAAGGTTGGCAGGCAGACAAAGAGATTCACAAAGAAGACAGGGCACTTAGTTTGGTTTTAGTGGACAGTAGAGCCACCATATGGGTGATGCAACTGTTGAGACAAATAAGTTAACTAGCAATTGTGCATAAAATTTACCTACTTGCAATGGGTAGTGATGTGATTGTCTAGTGCCATGTGTCATAGGAGAACTAATCTGCAACATGTTTTTGTCCTACTCTGCTTGCCTGGAATCCATAAACTACTGGGCAGTTACCTTGCTTTACAAAATTGATGACAATTCTGGAAACATTCAGTGATCCACTGGTGTGATAGGAGGTTAATATTGTTCTCCAGTGTAGCCACTTGAATCCCTATTTTCCCTGCACTTCCATGTCTAGTTATTCCTAAGCAGAGGCAGAAGTACTCAAAAAATATATCAGTATAATATAAACTGGGAAAACATGCAGGCAGTGACAACTCAGTCACATTTTTCTGTTAAAGTTTGTAACAACATCACTATTTTCCACATGCTGAACTAGACTTATGAAAAAAAAAATCTTGAATCTCTGTTGAAATCTCTGTTGGGCCTGTTCAGAAAGCTGCAGCAGGAAAAGCAAAGAGTGAGCCAGGTTTTGGTTTCAGGAGGATAAATCAACATACACGAACCAGCTTCTACAAGGAGGAGAAGCCTCCTTGGCTTCCATCAACCTTTGGATCTGGACTCTCTGTTGAAAGGCTGAAGCAGCTGAAATGCTGTTTTAGCTAGAGAGAACCTGTTGATAGCTACAGCAAATACTTTGCCCTGCTCTGTGAGTGTTACCACTCTACCTTGGACTGACTCAAATGTTCATTGTCTTTCTGAACTTTTGCCACATGGAGCTGGAATGGATTCTAAAGTATATTCTAGAGAGATCCTGTTGATATATACAGCAAATACAGTGTTTGCCCTCCTCTGTGAGTGTTACCACTCTACTTTGGAGTCCAACTCAAATGTTCATTGTCTTTCTGAACTTTTGCCACATGGAGCTGGAATGGATTCTAAAGTATATTTCTAACCACTGTTTGCCTCACATATGAACAAGATGGATGGATCATCTGAAATTGCTACAGAGCCCCAGCTACTTCAGTGCAGGCAAAGAATATGGTTTTTTTTAATATTTTCCTCAAAACAGTGAAGGTCCCAGTAGGAAAGACAGATGAATTTGCCTTTTTTCTACTGCCATTAATGATTCTGGCTTTCACAAAGCTCTCGTTTCCAAACAAACTAGGAGCAGTGAACACTTACATCAAACATTTGAAAAGGGATTTTAATAAAATCATTCCTACTGTTACTTCAGATGAGGAGTCACCTGTTTCTGCCTGGGCAAAACAAGCCATCAGTTACAGACCTGTGGTATTCTATTAGCCTGCTTAAGGTTCCCTTGGCTGCTGGCTTCTCACTGAAGGCATTTTGCCCATTAAGGTATCATCTCCTTGCTTAAAGAAGGGACAAATGGACCACTACCTCTGGGCAGTGATTAATTATTACAGACTTATGCATCCTCATAGGTAAATGACTAAGGCAGGCCATTCAGCATGGAAAAGCTTACTCTGGGTATCAGAGAATACTCCTTCAGACTACTCAGCAGTGATAATGCTATTACTGGCTCAGTTAGATCACTGTGTTACCCTAGTCAGAAATTGAACTGACTTGAAAAATGATGGAGAAACTGTCAGATGCTACTTTTAAGGCCCAAATGTCTATTAGGGAAATTAAATTGATAATCCATACCACGCCTTGTCGTTGTAAAAGACAGCCAGACATTGCAGAAAGTGAAATCTACTGATCATGCAGCGTAGTTAGACTGCTTAAAGTATTGTTTAGATTCTTTTATGTGTTTCAAGAGGGAGGTATGATAACTAATAGTCCTTGTGTAAATATCCTGATGCTAACTTTAAAATGTGAGGACTTTCAAACTTCTGTGACATTAGCTGCACAGAACCACTGGAGGCAACAATGTATTGATGAGCAACCAATGTTTACCTTTGGGGTCTAATGAAAGAAGGTGGCAGAGGATGTCAGACAGCACCTACTCTAGTGCTACTTGCGTTGCCCTGTTAGAATATAGATGGAAATATTGCTGCTGAATACCAAGAAGGGAAAAGAAAAATAGATTTTAAATTATTGCACCGCCGGGAACACAGAATTACATAGCCCAAAACTTCTGTGGAAGAGCATTATTCTTCTCTTCTGGTGTCAAAAGGCAGAGTTATTTTTCTTTCTGAACACAGAAACACTCTGCTATGAGTCACCTCAGTCCCAGACTGAGCTGGATTAATTAGAGAAAACACAGTATTAATCTTTTTCTTAACATTTACCAACAGTAGCTGGAATGATTAGATAGTAAATGCCACAGAAATGACTAGACCTTGTGTAGAAGACACACCTTCCTCACCCGTGGGATGTTTACTTCTAAAGAAGGCACACTGAATTAGTTTTTACTGTTCTGCCTGCAGTGCTAACAACTTAAAGACTTAGTAATGTTCTTTCAAAAAGAAAAATTCAGAGTATATAATGTACTTGCCACTGGTAAATTATTTAATGAAAAACGGAATAAAATTAATTAGGTAACTAATTTTCACCGTGGCCAAGATAAAGAAATCTATGTGATCAAAGGAGCTGTTTGTTTCTCCCATCACAGTACCTCTGGACTGTGTCTCAAGCTTGTTCAAAGCTAGGAATAAGGAAAATCCCATTATCTCTCTGATTAAAGACCACAGTTGGAACTTGGTTTTACCTTGCCTATGCATGTGACATCAGGTAAAAAAAAATCACATTCAATGCCTACCATTATTTTAAGGAAAAGTTTAAACTGTAGACCAGTTAACTTCATCCAAACTGTGGAATAAAAACTTCTTTCATTCATGTTTTGTAGTGTCCAAGAATTTATTTCTTCTGTGATACCTCTGCTAGTGTTTAATCCTGATATCAATGTGCTCATGAATTTACCAATCAGTCTGTAAGTCATCTGGAAGATGACATCCACTGTGCTCACATTTATGTTCTTTCACTTGTAGTTCACTGGAGATTCAGCTCCTCAGAGTGCTGAAGACTGACTGTTAGAAGGAACCCAACAATAAGGGAGTGCCAGGCACTGTATTTGTTGCCATGATGAGATTGAGAATTCCTTCCTGGTTTTGACAGACCTTGGACAGCTGAATGACTCAGCCATTTAATAAATGAAGGTGGAGAAATGGAGGTGCCTGGGGGGAAGAATTACTTATTATGGATAGCAGTTGTTATGACATGGTTATGAATCATGAAGAAATCAGGTACTTCAGAAAGAGCTGAAAGAAGGCTATGCAACATTTCAGAGCTACCAGGGGACAGGTGACTGCACCAGTCTAAGTAAGAGAGTTATCATGATTTCAAATAACTGGGCAAAAGTGATTCCTGCCAGCAAAGTTTTTATCCCAAAAGGAGACCAAAATTACAAACTCGACTACACAGGCAGGATTTCTGCCACACAGAATTATTTTTAAGTTTGTAAGAGACTTGATCACCTCCCTTATTCACAGAATGAAATTTCTGCTACTTCTCTTTGGTGGAAATTTAGATTGAGTTTTGTGTAATTGCTAAAGGAACTGTAGTGATTACCATCATGACTAAGGTAGTGTCCATACCAGAGGTAGCAAATGAAGTGACAGAGCATGTTCTGTCACTGGGGAGTGGAACCAAGCACCAGAATTACCTTCCCTTGAGAAGATTGGAGATGGCTTTTAACACCCTTATGCTTTCATTGTACAAAAGGGAGAAGAAGCAAGGAAGAATCCTTAAATTGATATTCTAATATTTTACTTTGAATTCTTAGATAAAACAAGTAATTGAATTTACCTGCAAACCATAGTAAAAATAAATATATTAACAGATAGCCAACAGACCTTTAAGACAAATAGGCTCAGCTTGTGTTGTGGCACTAGTTCATTGAAGGAGTGCTAATGAGAAGAAAAAAACAGCAAGGAAAACTGTCAAACATGACTAACAACAGAAGTGGAGATGAGCTAGGATCTTCCAGGAGTACAGATGGTAAAAGGATAAATTTCAGATAACAAAACCAGCTATAGCCAAATGTTTTAACAGAGTGTGATAAATTTATAACAGGAACAATAATCAAAGAAGAGCTTTTCTCTGGAACCCCATTCAGTCAGCCCTGAACTGAGTTCACGAGGAGATTCCCACTGCAGATAGTCTGAGATGATAGAGAATTTTGTGGAAAGGTTGGTAAGGTAGGCAGGCTTCCTTTTCTCTTGGACTCACCAAAAAGGTAACACTCTTTAAGTCAAGAAGAAGCTTTAAACTCTATTAAATGTCTTTAATTTATGTTTTATAAGCAATATCATTGGTGTGTTCTCGGCTAGAACACACTGTGAATTGCAGGGATTTTATTATTCTCTGTTGATGTGTTATGCTGTGTAAGTAGGATGGTAAGTGATGTCCTTTCCCATTTATTCTTGCTGATCAGCTAATTTCTCTGAGGATGTTCATGGCAGAATCTTCATTCCCAGCTTGTCTCTTTTGGTCAGTGTTTGCATTCCTTCTGTATAACCTTTACAAAACTCTTTACAAACTCTGTAAAATTTTTTTCTTCATACTCTTCACATTCTTTGCATTTTGCTGGTGTTGAAGAATTCAACTGAAAAACAAAACACAATAGTAAAGCAGGATACCAATCCATTTGCTCTGATAGAGAACTAACCCTTGTTTGCCCTGGTTTTGGGCATAACTCCAGTGTAGTCAATGCCTACAAAAAGCCTTGATGGAGGCTTCCATGATCCTTATGGTCTGTGTAGCTCCTGGCTTGCTTTCTGAGTAGATTCAGCTTTCAAAAACACAGCACCTCAGTGAGAGATGCAAGTGGCTGTCCCCTTGAAAATCAGGATGCTTCTCTGTATGGGTCTGAGCATACCTGGCTTTAGCTACTGAAGTTACAGCTCTTTGTACCTACACGTTCAAACACCCTGATGTATTTATGCATGCACAGTGAAAGTATTTGCTTTCATGGGAAACCTGAAAGTGTTTTTCCAAAAACTGTTAAGTTCTATGTTTCATACTTGTATGTGTAGCATTTTCAGTGTTCCACGTCCAGCTTACTGCATCCCATTTACTTTCATCTGTACCATCTCACCTTTTACTTAACAAAAGAGGTATTTCTGAAACTGGGGAAACACTTTTGATTTGCCTTATTTCCACAGGCTGTGGGTGTTACTTACCTTGTTATTTCCTAAGCTAGCATATCCATTTTTCCATATGTTCAATACATCCTGTGTTTTACTACAGTTTTTCAGAAGACATTCTTGAAGAATCACTTTTGTCTCTAAGAAAAAACATCTCATTACAGGTTCTTGACATTCATTCTGAAAAGAAAAAGAAGTTACAATAGTTTTACAATTAAAAAGGAGTGAGTGCAAGATATAATTTACCACAAAGTGGCTGATTTTCATTTACTGGATATCTCTTCTCACTATTCAAATACTTTTAAATATCCACAAAGATTGGCTGTGAGAGCTAACAACATAAAGACCAGGCAGTTGGCTAAGGTGAGATCTCAGTGAAGAACATAGGGCAATAATTAACAAGGATAGGAATTTGGGATATAGTTAAAAACAGTGGAATTAAATTAGTATTATTCTTAGTAATTCTAGCAACTTCATTCAGAGACCTGAATTCAGAATAGCTAGGAGAGAAGAGGAAGTAGATATTACCTGTATCTCACAAATTAAAGGAAAAGAAGCAGAGGTACTAATTTCTGAAAAGCCAAGAATCAGTCCCAGGTTGTCTGATTTTCATCTCATACCCCTGTAAGAAAATCTTCCTGATATTGCCAGGTACTCACTCAGCCATTACAATGGATTAACCTCTCTGGCTCAACTCAGTCAAGAGACTTCACACATGTGTGAAGATGTGGACATGCATATTTTTGCAACTTTTTTTCCTGCTATAGAGGGCTAATGGTACAGACACATCAGCCTGTGCTTTCTCAGGCTTGCCAAATCCACTGCATCCATCAGTATTCTGCATGCACACTGAGACTATTCTGCACTGAGCTGGAAGAGTGTGGCAAGCCAGAAGGCAACAAAGCTGCTCAAGTGTCTAGAGCACAAGGCTTATGAGGAAACTGGAGCTGTTTAGCCTGCAGAAAGGGAGGCTCAGGGAAGACATTACCACTTCCTACAACTGCCTGAGAGAAGGTTGTAGTGAGGTGGGGGTCAGTCTCTTCTGCCAAGTAACAAGTGATAGGACAAGGGGAAATGGCTGCAAGTTGCACCAGGGGAGGTTTAGGGTGGATATTAGGATAAACTTCTTTACTGAAAGGGTTGTTAAACAGTGGAACAGGCTGCCCAGGGAAGTGGTTGAATCACCATCCCTGGAAGTATTTAAAAGGCACGTAGATGAGGTGTTAGGGACATGGGTTAGTTGTGGACTTGGTAGAGTTAGGTTAATGGTTGGACTTGATGAACTTAAAGGTCTTTTCCAACCCAAATGAAGCTATGATTCCAACTCTTTATGAACAGGATTCATGTACTGTCTGTGTTTGGTGCAATCCTTATGGGAATGTTTGTTGTTAGGAAAGCAATGTCTTTGCAGAAGCAGAGAACACAGAGGCAGATGCTGCCAGGGGCTCTCCATATTCCACTCCTCCAGTATTTTATTCCACTAAATAGTGCATGGTGTGAAATAATCAAATTTGTAAGTATTTTCTTTGTCACTTTTTCTCTCCCTCACATTACAAATGGATACTGACATTATTTTAGGCAGTGTTTGCTTTGATAAGATCTTTATGGATCATCACTTCTCATTGATTAATTTTAATAGTATGTGATTCAATAAAAATAATTAATACCTGCTTACGTAATTTATCATAAGCATTTTAACAGAACTGTTCCTTCCAAGGCAGATTATTTAATTTCTGAAATTTTTCTGCAGTTAGACCAAGGCTGCCTTAGGATAAAGTTGCTAGTAAAGAAATGAAGGCACCATATTAGACCAGTTGAGGCCAAATTTCAAGTTTACTTACATCCTCATCTGTGTTTGCAGTATATAAACTAACATCAATGTCCTAAAAGAAAACAAAAGTTAGAATTATGAACAACAACAAACAGATTTAGAGGTAATAGAGCTAACTCTGCAAGACTTGGAATAGCTCCAAGTTCAAAGGCCAAATCCATTCAGATATTGGGACCCAGCAAGTCAAGGGATCTTCAAGTCACTTAGTAACCTGCAGGGTGGACTTCACTGTGAGAATGACTCACCAGAATCAAGTCCTACAATACTTTCTCTGAAGGAGATAACTCCCAAGCCCACTGCCCTTTCTTTTATTTTTTTTAAAGTGAAAAAGAAAATATTTAATTCTGGAATCCAGACTCCTTGGTCAACTCCAGTTCTCTTTAACTTTCTGTTCCATGAAACAGCATTACACAAACACCACCCCTTTTGCTGCTCCCTGTCACTGACACTTCTTAGCTGAGCACACTGCTCAATATTTGTTGTCTGCTCCCATGATTAGATGAAATTCTGACTTTTTCATCAACTTACTTTGGATGTCTTGATCCGCTCCAAATCTTTCAGAACTTCTGCCCATTTGCAATGTCCTGCTGCTGTCTTTAGTACATAAGCACTACAAGAGAAGGAAAAGGGTGACTGTTAAGCTCAACAATAGGTAAACAAAATATTTATGCTGAAAAAAAGTGTCAGAGGTTATTAAGATAGTATAGAGACTGTTTAGCTGTATATATACATATGGTAAATGTGTGGGATAAGCATATTTGACAAATCATAAAATCATATAGATACTTAAAAACTGTATCTCAGATTCACACACTATAAACAATGTGAGGTTTTTTTAAAGGCCAGTTTTATAGAATACAATGGAAGAGAAATGTTCAACTACTTAATGTAAAAAACTTACAGTTCTTTTAAAATATACAAGAAAATCCCTAATTTCAAAGTCTCTTATACTGGAAATTCCCCACACACCCCCTCCCACTACTCTGAGTTTCTACCTTAAGCCTCACAGAAATATTATTTGTCATTTTAGATGTAATTTTTTTGTGTACAGGAAAGCTTCCTCCTGCTATGGATAAGATCCTGCTCAAAGTGAACCACTGAAGGGTGGAAGGAAGATTTCCGTCTCCTTGGAAGATTTTTGGTATGTGAATTGCACTTTTAATGTGTCCCCACTTCGATCCTTAATTTGGAAGCCTTTCAGTACTGCTGCACTATAAATAATATATGATAAT